TATAATAACTAAAGAAAGAATATTAATAATAATCTGTTCAGTTCTGAGATACAATATATACTGACAAAGTAAATCATTTACAATTTAGTTTACTGAAGTCTTGTCTGAGTTCTTTAACACTGGTTTCAGAAGTGGCTTCAGTTTTGTAAGAGTAGCCACCTCCTTACTTCACCCTTAGAACCCCTTCCTTCTCACTCTGAGGCCATTAGCCTGCCCCCATCCTGGCTGAGCCATCATTGGTCCACTCTCGACCACTCACACTTCTACTCAAGCCATGGTTACAAAAGTGTGCCGTCTAGAGGCACCTCCTCCTCCATGTAAGGAGCCAGACACGCCACCTTTGTCAGCACAAGCTTTAATGATTGCCGTAGAGCACAATCCTACACAAATAGGTGACCTGTGCAGTACAGCACTGTCGCTTCCTTGCCTCTCACCTTAGACAGTCTGTTCTTATCCCCTTTCTTTAACCTTTTTACTATTTTGTATGTTATGATCATGTTTCCTTCGATCTTCCTTTCCTCTAGTGTTATTACTTAGAGCTCTTTGTGTCTCCTGGAGTTTCTATGCTTGATTAAGAGCCGGCTGTATGCTGGCTCCACGTACTCTAGGATAGGCCTATTGTAAGATATATTTGCTGTTCTAAATTAATCTCTGTTAAAGTTCCCAAAAGCAGTTATTAATTTTGCTAGTTTTTTATTTGCTGCTGAAGTTACATGCGTGAAATTTACTTCTGGTGATATGCTTGTTGCAGTGTTGACTCCCAGGTTTCTCTTCTTAGATGTTGTCTCAGTGTTTCTCCTCCCTGGCTCTATTTCTTGTTCGGTCTTTTTACTCCTATTCTTGTTTTCGTTACTTTGTACTTATCAGGACTGAATTAAAACAACACTTCTTAGACCAAGCTCACTGGCTGCTCAAGTTCTCTAGGAGCCTCTCCTTGTCATCCACGGTTATCTTGGAGCCTTTCTTTGTCATCCACGGTTATCTTGGAGCCTTTCTTTGTCATTCACGGTTATCTTGGAGCCTTTCTTTGTCATCCACGGTTATCTTGGAGCCTTTCTTTGCCATCCACGGTTATCTTGGAGCCTTTCTTTGTCATCCACGGTTATCTTGGAGCCTTTCTTTGCCATCCACGGTTATCTTGGAGCCTTTCTTTGCCATCCACGGTTATCTTGGAGCCTTTCTTTGCCATCCACGGTTATCTTGGAGCCTTTCTTTGCCATCCACGGTTATCTTGGAGCCTTTCTTTGCCATCCACGGTTATCTTGGAGCCTTTCTTTGCCATCCACGGTTATCTTGGAACTGCGTCAAGCTGCCTTCTTATTCACACTTCCGGTAGAAGATGCCGTCTGTCTTCTCTTCCCCAGGAACTTCAGCTAGCGGCTGCTAGCCGCTTTCTTACCCTCATCACCAATAGAAGTACCCACGACCATTCCTTCCATGTCATTAGAAGTAGCAGTACTTCTAATGACATGACGGCAGCGAGTACTTCCCTTTCCATCAACACCAGCTACTGCATTTTTTTCCCCCAGCAGCAGCGGCAGCAAGTACCAAACCTTTTTGCCTTTTATCCACCGCCAAAGCAAGCAAGAATCCTCATTCCTTTTAGAACAGCAGGAGCTGACAATCTCCACTCCTTCCCCAGAATCAAAAGCTACCCTGATTCCAGTCTCAGAAGCAGATCAACAGTTTAGTCATCCTTCTCCGACCATCCTTACTACCAGGAACAACCAACAAACCCTATTCTTTCTGCAGTAGTTCAGCAAGAATATCTTTTCCACTTCGTATCATCATTATCAACTAGCTAACATTCCTTTCTACGTTACCACCGGCAGTTAACCCATTTCCTCTCCCTTTCACAGCGACATCTAACATTCTCCCGTTGCCTAGCCACCAGCATGCCTGGCCTATCTCCTAACCTCTCCTACCTAACATTTTTTTTTGTCTCCTTCACTGCACAACATTACCCATCCGTCCCTTTCTTCAGTCAACATTCATTTTTTGTTTTCGCTATCATTATAGGCTCTGCCTTTGTCCCCTTCATTATTAAAAGCCCTTCCTTTGTCCCTTTCATCAGGGAAAACCCTTCATTTCTTCCCATCAGTGTACGCGTCTGCTAGCAACAGACAAGGTCTCCTTGCTATCAACAATGTATCCTCTTTACTGTACTATCATCAAACAAGGTCTCCTCCTCGCTGTACTATCAACAAACAAGGTCTCCTCCTCGCTGTACTATCATCAAACAAGGTCTCCTCCTCGCTGTACTATCATCAAACAAGGTCTCCTCCTCGCTGTACTATCACCAAACAAGGTCTCCTCGCTGTACTATCATCAAACAAGGTCTCCTCGCTGTACTATCATCAAACAAGGTCTCCTCCTCGCTGTACTATCATCAAACAAGGTCTCCTCCTCGCTGTACTATCATCAGACAAGGTCTCGCTGTACTATCAACAAACAAGGTCTCCTCGCTGTACTATCATCAAACAAGGTCTCCTCCTCGTTGTACTATAATCAAACAAGGTCTCCTCCTCGCTGGACTATCATCAAACAAGGTCTCCTCCTCGCTGTACTATCATCAAACAAGGTCTCCTCCTCGCTGTACTATCATCAAACAAGGTCTCCTCCTCGCTGTACTATCATCAAACAAGGTCTCCTCCTCGCTGTACTATCAACAAACAAGGTCTCCTCCTCGCTGTACTATCACCAAACAAGGTCTCCTCCTCGCTGTACTATCATCAAACAAGGTCTCCTCCTCGCTGTACTATCATCAAACAAGGTCTCCTCCTCGCTGTACTATCATCAAACAAGGTCTCCTCCTCGCTGTACTATCATCAAACAAGGTCTCCTCCTCGCTGTACTATCAACAAACAAGGTCTCCTCCTCGCTGTACTATCACTCAAACAAGGTCTCCTCCGCTCCACGTCCTCGCTGTACTATCATCAAACAAGGTCTCCTCCTGACTCACGCTTGTACTATCACCAAACAAGGTCTCCTCCTCGCTGTACTATCACCAAACAAGGTCTCCTCCTCGCTGTAATATCACCAAACAAGGTCTCCTCCTCGCTGTACTATCATCAAACAAGGTCTCCTCCTCGCTGTACTATCACCAAACAAGGTCTCCTCGCTGTACTATCATCAGACAAGGTCTCCTCCTCGCTGTACTATCACCAAACAAGGTCTCCTCGCTGTACTATCACCAAAGAAGGTCTCGCTGTACTATCATCAAACAAGGTCTCCTCGCTGTACTATCATCAAACAAGGTCTCCTCCTCGCTGTACTATCACCAAACAAGGTCTCGCTGTACTATCATCAAACAAGGTCTCCTCCTCGCTGTACTATCATCAAACAAGGTCTCGCTGTACTATCACCAAACAAGGTCTCCTCCTCGCTGTACTATCACCAAACAAGGTCTCGCTGTACTATCACCAAACAAGGTCTCCTCCTCGCTGTACTATCACCAAACAAGGTCTCCTCCTCGCTGTACTATCACCAAACAAGGTCTCCTCCCTCCTCGCTGTACTATCACCAAACAAGGTCTCCTCCTCGCTGTACTATCACCAAACAAGGTCTCCTCCTCGCTGTACTATCATCAAACAAGGTCTCCTCCTCGCTGTACTATCACCAAACAAGGTCTCCTCCTCGCTGTACTATCACCAAACAAGGTCTCCTCCTCGCTGCACTCTCACCAAACAAGGTCTCCTCCTCGCTGTACTATCACCAAACAAGGTCTCCTCCTCGCTGTACTATCATCAAACAAGGTCTCCTCCTCGCTGTACTATCATCAAACAAGGTCTCGCTGTACTATCACCAAACAAGGTCTCCTCCTCGCTGTACTATCACCAAACAAGGTCTCGCTGTACTATCACCAAACAAGGTCTCCTCCTCGCTGTACTATCACCAAACAAGGTCTCCTCCTCGCTGTACTATCACCAAACAAGGTCTCCTCCCTCCTCGCTGTACTATCACCAAACAAGGTCTCCTCCTCGCTGTACTATCATCAAACAAGGTCTCCTCCTCGCTGAACTATCACCAAACAAGGTCTCCTCCTCGCTGCACTCTCACCAAACAAGGTCTCCTCCTCGCTGTACTATCACCAAACAAGGTCTCCTCCTCGCTGTACTATCATCAAACAAGGTCTCCTCCTCGTTGTACTATCATCAAACAAGGTCTCCTCCTCGCTGTACTATCAAACAAGGTCTCCTCCTCGCTGTATTATCAAACAAGGTCTCCTCCTCGCTGTACTATCATCAAACAAGGTCTCCTCCTCGCTGTACTATCATCAAACAAGGTCTCCTCGCTGTACTATCATCAAACAAGGTCTCCTCCTCGCTGTACTATCACCAAACAAGGTCTCCTCCCTCCTCGCTGTACTATCACCAAACAAGGTCTCCTCCTCGCTGTACTATCATCAAACAAGGTCTCCTCCTCGCTGTACTATCATCAAACAAGGTCTCCTCCTCGTTGTACTATCATCAAACAAGGTCTCCTCCTCGCTGTACTATCAAACAAGGTCTCCTCCTCGCTGTATTATCAAACAAGGTCTCCTCCTCGCTGTACTATCATCAAACAAGGTCTCCTCCTCGCTGTACTATCATCAAACAAGGTCTCCTCGCTGTACTATCATCAAACAAGGTCTCCTCCTCGCTGTACTATCACCAAACAAGGTCTCCTCCCTCCTCGCTGTACTATCACCAAACAAGGTCTCCTCCTCGCTGTACTATCACCAAACAAGGTCTCCTCCTCGCTGTACTATCATCAAACAAGGTCTCCTCCTCGCTGTACTATCACCAAACAAGGTCTCCTCCTCGCTGTACTATCATCAAACAAGGTCTCCTCCTCGCTGAACTATCACCAAACAAGGTCTCCTCCTCGCTGCACTCTCACCAAACAAGGTCTCCTCCTCGCTGTACTATCACCAAACAAGGTCTCCTCCTCGCTGTACTATCACCAAACAAGGTCTCCTCCTCACTGTACTATCAACAATGATGGTCCCGTCTCGACAGGTGTGCGGGCTGGCGGTGCTGGGCAAGGAGAACATCATGCGGCACGCAGCAGAGCAACACGAGGGTCGCGGAGCCTACCAGTGCCAGTACTGCAAGAAGGTAGGTGGAGCCAGACTGCTTGCTCATTTGCATGTCACTTTGTATAGTGCTTCCGCTGCTACACCTCACATGCCTCCTGTCGCAGGGGATGCCCCTCACCCACGCCCACACGCCCCGCCTTGGGTATGTCTGATACCAATGCCCTCGTTCTACGATACTGCTACGATAATAAGGGAAATTTTCATACGTAATCTACTAGTTATTAAATTGTTTAAACTTCAATCGAGATCAATCATTTATCTTCAAAAATACGCATATTACGCACTAATTTTTCAGCGGAAACCTGTTGCATTACAAAGGATATATCTTACTCTAGTTTAGATATTCATACTTAAACTAAACACTTCATGATAAAGACAGTAGAAGTAATTTTGAGGTGGTCAGTCCCATCCCAGCCTTGATAGGTGGTCAATCCCTCAGTTAAAAACAGAGGAAGATAGTATCACTGAGCTAACAATTAATCATACTAGGAAGTGTGTACAAGAATTTACACTGCGTGGCAGACGAACCTCGTTCAGGAACATGATACAGTTGTAGGAGAGATACCTGGTACGGCTGTACCGGAGAAATCTAGCACAAATGTGGCATAAGTACGTGATACAGCTGTGGCAGAGGTACCTAGTACAGCTGTAGCAGAGATACCTAGTACAGCCGTGGCAGACGTACCTAGCGCAGCTGTGGCTGAGGTACCTGGTTGACCTCATTATTGACCATCAGGTCGACCTTAGAGCAATGGATGTCCTGACTAGTGACATCCACCAAAAAGATCTATGAAAGTAGCCCAGGAACAACCAGGTCTGAAAGTAGCTCAGGCACACTCATGTCTGAAAGTAGCCCAGGAACAACAAGGTCTGAGAGTAGCCCAGGAACAAGGTCTGAGAGTAGCCCAGGAACAAGGTCTGAGAGTAGCCCAGGAACAACAGTTCCCTCGGCTCGTTTCACTCCCAGGTTTCAGCCCCTCCTTATTGGAGCAACGTTTCACTCAGTGTAGAGCTTCATCGCGTTGTGATGAAGATGTGTACAGAGCGAACTGATGCGACCTGTCAGTCGCTAGTCGCTGGTACTCACCAACCCCGCATTACCACATTCACGGGAAGACCGCTGAATCTGCATGGGTCAGACAGCGTACGGGAGTTGGAAGGCAGTCGTGTGTGACCCGAAGAAGGGTAAGGTAACCTTCAATTCCCGGGATCAAGAGCTCTTCTCCAGCATCAGAGTGAAAGGTAAATAAATGAAAGACGTAATGAAGCAAGGCACACCTGTCATAATGTACAATGACCGACATTATTGTAAAGGCTACACACACCTGTAACAGAGTACAATGCGTGACGTCATTGTATACGTCAGAGTTGCAACGATATTGATGTTTAACCTCAACAATAAAAGCATATTGGATTCGAGATGATCTTGCAGCATTCCACACTTTGAAGCCTGGCACCATTCCACACTGAAGTTTGGCACCATTCCACACTGAAATCTGGCACCATTCCACACTCAGACGTCTGGCACCATTCCTCACCCAGAAATCTGGCACCATTCCTCACCCAGAAGTCTAGCACCATTCCACACTCAGAAGTGTAAAACCATTCCACACTCAGAAGTCTGTCACTATTCGACACTCAGAAGTCTGGCACAATTCCACACTCAGAAGTCTGTCATTATTCGACACTCAGAAGTCTGGCACCATTCCACACCCAGAAGTCTGGCACCATTCCACACCCAGAAGTCTGGCACCATTCCACACTCAGAAGTCTGGCACAATTCCACACCCAGATATCTGGCACCATTCCATAGTCAAAAGTCTGGCATCATTCCTCACCCAGAAGTCTGGCACCATTGCACACTCAGAAGTCTGGCATCATTCCACACTCATAAGTCTGGCACTATTCCACACCAAGAAGTCTAGCACCATTCCACACTCAAGTCTGGTACCATTCCACACCCAGAAGTCTGGCACCATTCCTCAAAAATCTTAGAGACAGTTCAAGTCTTCAACTCGTGAGAGATTATCAAAATGACCAGAAAGCGCAAACCCGTACGGGACCATGCAAGGAGGGATAGGTGGTAACGGAATGTAGCCAGGTTTGCTAAGAGGAAAGACAGGGAAGCTCCAGTCCCCTTGGATCAGGATCCCAGCTCAGCATCATGGCATCACTCACGAATTACTCTATTGCAAACCACACTTAGAAAGCCGTGTAATTAACTAGTGAGCAGTATAATTATCTAGAGAGCCGTGTAATTAACTAGTGAGTTGTATAATTAATTAGAGAGCAGCATAATTAACTAGAGAGTTGTATAATTAATTAGTTAGAAGTATAATTAACTAGAGAGCAGTATAATTAACTAGTTACCAGTGTATTAGAGAGCAGTGTAATTAACTAGAGCACAGCACTAGTCACCAGTGTTGAGTACGACTACGTCAAAGATACAGAATACCGACAGACCGACGGAAAAAACTGGGCATTTCCATTTGAGGTCTCGCCCGCCATAGGAAGGCATG